GGGTGTATAGGATTTTGCCATATGAAAAAGTGTGGTAAAATTATTCTGGGCAGAAGTAGTATTTCCTCAGGGTTTAATGATGATGTCATCCCTGGCCATGATTACTGGAGAAGTGGGGGAGGTTTCCTGGTGCCTTTAAAACCACTATTCACCTATATGTTCAGTCAGAACCCAAGGAGAAAGAGACAAGTCCCTATGGCCTATAGCACACCTGTGATGCTCCATCCCTCTGCAAGGAAGCTGTCTGAATTCTTTCACCTGATCCTCAAAGAGAGGTGAAAGGATGGAGTGCAAATGCAAAGCCATTCTTTGTAATCCCAAAGCCAAAGGGGCAAATTTTATTATATTCTCTAAATTGTCCACAATGATATGCATCAGTTGGGTGAAGTGGAATTTCAGAGAGGTGGAAGGATATATGAGGTCACCAAGATGAGGAAGGAGCAATTAAACAACTGTTGGCCAACACAATAACCCCCCTCCACAAAGGTGTAAGTGCAGGCAAGCTTGGATAATGGCTGAAGATCACAGAAGTAATGGTCAATCACACTGGGATCACAATAACAGAGGCACAGACTGTCTCATCCTACTTCACCAAGAAACACTAATAGGCATGAAAAGAAGTGGACTTGGCATGGTCACTTAGAATAAAGGACAGAAGTCTGGAGTAGAAACATGCATGGACAGTATTTCCCTCCCTTACATTCTTCAACTTAGGCCTAATAAGAATTTTCTACATTCTGTGTTTATTTATATTTGGATAAGCCTAAAAGTGATCTTTTCATTAAAATGTTGACTTGATCTTTCCCTACTGACAGCTAGAACCTATGCCATTTTGATATTTTTTTAAATTTATGGATGCTGGACATTGTGAAAGGGCTTACAGAGATTGAAGAACTACCTTTTGTACCAACATGTCACAAGAACTGAAATTGCCCCAGAGATTTTTTCGGTACTTGTAGTTAGATGGTCTATGGTACAAGATGCCAAGAACAAATCAGAATAACAGAAAAATTCTTGGACACAATTTTCAAAGATACACTTCTCCACACTGGAAGAGAAGATCACATTGGTACCCTCTTCAAATATCCCATGATAATTCCTCTCTTTGGTTTCCCCTCTTAATGAAATATAGGTTGTTATTAGGAGGTTGAACAAGGAAAGGAGAAGGGAGGGAGGGAGGGAGG